GCTAAACCATTGGTTTGAAAAACCTAAAAACCATTAGTACTCAAACTGACCTATTAAATATTCCTTAGTAGAAAGTCGACAGGCACTTGGCCGGTTTTTTTATACGAGGTGTAACGAATTACCCAACTCCATCTCATGTTAAGTGAAAGTGGAGTCCAGTCACGAAGATAGGTGATACGGCAGGTGTGCCTTTCGAACCATCCTCACCAAGCCGGCTTGAACTCAATCCCCTACCCCGCCGAGCTCTGGAACCCTACTTATGTACCAGCAGAAACACGACACCACCAAAAGGTAGTGTTTTTACCCGACTGCGCAATGCAAGAGCGCGAAGCGCGACGCGCAGACAGGGTATTGTGTTTAACAGTCTATATATGTATGTTTGTTCCTTTGTGGCACACTAGAGACCAAACGCCTGGACCGATTTTTTTCTGTGGTCTTTTGTAAGGTGGATGTTGCCTCCCCAGACGGCCGCTCCCTCTTATTTGCATTAATCACAGCTAGATGTTAGAACCTTTTTTTATGTTATAGGGGGCATACGAGCAGACGTCTCACCTGATGGTAAGTGATCACCGTCGCCCATGGACACTTGCAACACCAGGAGTATCACAAATGCGATGCCGCCCTTTATAAAGGTGTTCGCTCTTTCTTTGAAGGTTTTTGGGTCGTATTAAACTGTAAATTACTTAAACTTTATTTTAAAGAATGTTGATTTTAGTTATATTATGAACAATATGTGATAAATTAATTGAAGGACAGTTTCAATAATTCGTTGAGCTAGTTACACGTCTTTTCATTGTATATTGTCTGCAATATTTATTATCAGTTATAGTTAGATTTTAGATTATAGTCCGGACTTTGCTCGGATCTTTAAATTCTCCGGATTTTTTAAATTACATTGGATATCTTCTATACTTATAATAAATCTGTAGAGATGTCAATTCTGTACATGAAATATATTTTTAAAATAACTATCAGGGGGTGATTAGTGATCGATACTGATGCCAAAAATGCAATCAGTAAATTTTTTGTCTGTCTGTCTGTGTGTATGTTCCTTATAGAAGCAAAAACTACTCAACGGATTTTAATGAAACTTGGTACAATTATTCTTCATACTCCTGGGCAGGTTATAGTATACTTTTCATCACGCTACAATCAAACGCAGCAGAGTAGTGAAGGGAAATGTTGGGAAAACGGGAGAAGTTACTCCATTTTTTAAGCTTCCGTCGTGGGTGCAGCCTTAATGGTTAAAGTTACATAGAAATCATGTATGACGGAAATATTCTACATAAAATTGTCTAAAAAATATCCCGCAACAGCATATGTCTATCTTTTATGGTTGATTCACAATAACACGTGTAATTATATAAATAAAGTCATTCTTTATAGCACAAGCCTGAGAACAAAAACTATAGTTTACACTACAGCTCTACACCGAAGCGAAGCGAGGGCGTGCAACTAGTAAATAATAAAAGTACATATTGACTTTAATACCATACCGTTGTAACTAAGTGAGTAGTGGTACCATATTGTGGCTACAAAGTCCGGACTTTTTACGAAATGTTAGGATTTTTGTCAGGACTTTTGAAATTCTTGAATGGTTATCCTAGATGTGAATTAATAGTTTTTAAACTAGATTAGGTATAAAGCTATAAAAGTAAAGACAGTGGCGGCCTCTTACGCACAGCTGTTGAATGAAATAAAATACCTTTAAGCACTCTATGAATTTAAATAAAAGTAAAGTTCTGGCATTGTTAACTCAATTTTAGATTTTTTATATGACTTAGGAACTAAACTTGTGACTTGTGTTCACTTTCACTACGCATTTTAAAACTTTACCGAATTATAATTCATGGGTAACAATCTTGTCGTTCATTTAATTGTTAAGCGATATTTTAATGTTAAAATTGGTATTTTTGTTAGTTAATCACGCGAAAACGTCTGAATGAATAATTTGAAATACATTCAAAGCGCGCCATAAGTTCTCTTGGTTGTGTGTGTCTAACAGATATAACTCAGAGACGCTATTTAAATTTCATGATTTTCATTCCATTCCATTGATTGATTCACACTTAAATTTTTATTGACGTCTCTGCGTGTGCGGCCTGGTGTGAGTTGGGTCCGGTTCATTGACAAGTTTTAGGTAGTAGGTACCTACGCTACTACAGCAATTTACGAACTAACTGCTTTGTTGATGTTAGCAGTAAGTAGGTACCTAATATATCTTCTGTTTACTCTGAAGTTAGTAGCGAGCGGTGCGAATTACATTACTTGGTATATTTATAAGGTACGTAGGTACCTACCCTACGCCTTTATTTGTGTTTTAAAAATAGCCACCAAATAGTATTACCTACCCGTATATATTAACATGGCCGCTTTATGGCTAGTCACGGTCGTGGCCGTCTAGTGCGGGAGGTGCCTTACTTATAGGCGTAACTTAGAAGACAAATTAACAAATAAGGTTTCAACTCTGTAAATAGATTAGTACCATTACGTTATGCGGTTGATTGATTAACATTTTTGGAGAAAGTGACTCATAATAATGATTAATTGCTTTAATCCCACGCATAATGACGTATTGAAATATCATAATTATGGTAAGTACAACAGACGCCACGCTAGCAGAATTGGAAAATTTCTGCGACTTTAAAACGTAGGTAGTAAGAGTGATATTCGTAGGGGAAGTGGTTTTGTGGTGACCTAACATAAAATGTATACTTGCTGTCAGTTTTGATTAAATATTTCGTATTTTTAACAGATTTCTAAAAAAGGATGTTCTCAGTTTGACCTGTATGTATGTATGTTTGACCGCGATTATCTCAAAAACTGCTGATCTGATTTGGATATTTTTGGATTTGGTTTTCGATATATAAATGCGTATTTATCAGAGAAGGTTTTAGTCTATAATATACTAGCAGTATCCCACGGTTTTACCCACGTAGACCATGATCTCCCTACTAAACACACGGCTTGACATCGACTTCGAATATATCAGTCGGTAAATGTAATGTTTTCATTTTCAGTTTTTTCAAGTCGGTTTTATTAAAAAAAGTATATATCTACTTGCGGGTTACCAACGGTAAAACACATAGGTTGTGGAATATATGTTAAATTAAAGTAGTACTTACTTAGTATTTGTATTCTATGACGAAAGTTAACATATACTTAAATTTTACAGGTCCTCATATCCAACCTATTGAATATTCGTAAAATTTTAAATGGAGAAAACGGATAAACAGACTTAATCTAATGTGTGTTCAACATGTACGACGCAGCGAAAGAGGCATGACTTAAGAACGGCTGGAGTGAGTTGGCTAAATTTATCTTTTTGTACGTGTTTGAAAATTTCTGCAAAAATATAAAATGTAAAAAATATATAATTCTTACTTTTCAACGTTTGAATTGCGTTTTTAATACTTTTTCACATAACATTATCTAAAGGATGGCAAACGTAAAAACTTTGAAAATTGAAAACTGCTTTTTTAAACCCGTTGTAAAGTAGTTTATTTAATGAAACATTAATAAGATGGTGTAAGTACAACTTAAATACGCTTCCCCCACAGAAAGCCATTAAATTAAATTACATATGTACTTTATTTCATAAGGTAAATTATTTCAATACAAACAATATATATTTGTCAGTATGTTAGTAAGATACCTTAAAATCGATAGTTATTAAAGTAAAAAGCTAAGCTGAAAGACTAGATTTGTTAAATTACCTAGATACTCTTGAGATAATTGTGTAGATCAAACAAATTACAATTGCCTACGCAGATACCTACGTTAATTACACATTCAAAACAATAGAACGTCAAATTAAGTGTATTAAATTATTGCGCTTGATGTTTATCATTCTAATGAGCTATCTCTTTATTGTTAATTTGTTTATAAACAACTAACTACTACTGTTTAAATTGCAATAAATACTTTTGGAATTTGTTTATTTCATTTCACAATTTGCAAATTTGTGATGCCGGGCCCACACATGTGTAAATATGTTTGGGAAGACACGAAAAAACTATGTGTAAAGTGGCCATTAGTATTTGCAATATTTAAGTAAGAAATGGTTCATTGTAGCGGTTATTTGATTAAGGTATACATCCCGGATCGCGGAAAGGCCTGTGTAGGGAACGCGTAGGCAGTCCTTCCGCAGCAGACGGGGAGCGATGCGGTGGGCAATAGGCCGCGCACTTAGCTCCCAGCGCGGGCAATCCTGCGCACGTCTGCGGGAGACCCCGAGATACCACGGGTGATCTCTACCGTAGAGCCCCGGCTAGGCCGGGAGGCTGTTGGGTACGCGGAGAAGTCCCTCAACGCGTATCTCGCGGTTCCGCATTTAACAGTGTAGAGGGTATTCGCAGGGTTTTTTAGCGGATAGTATGCCGCAAGCGCTCGTAAGCCACGCGAGACTAGGTGTGAGGTCCGTTCATTGGTGTGCCCCTTAAGGGCCCCAACGTCTGTAAAAAGAGGTTTTGCCTACGTAATAAAAAAAAATATACACCTCGGCAAACTTCTTGAACAAGGACCAGAGACAAGGAAGCCTGCGCAGTAACAATAAGCGCAAGTTTATTTGTCTGTGGTTTTGCTCAAAAAGCTTGCCGCTACCTATAAACATTAAAAGGCACTACATCAGAGTGATTTTTTCACACTCATTAAAACACTTTTGTTGAACGGCTACTCACGGGTATGAAATGCTATTTATTAAATTTGTCATAGCTTTTCAGGGTCTGTAGTCTTAAGCCTTAAGTATAGGGCGCGTACAAATATGATGATGTATATTTTCTTCTCATTTTTAACACCAAAAAAACTCCCGGTGCACGACTCTGGCGACGCAGAACAGCTGCGTGTTCCGTGCGCCAGAGACATGTTCCACCACAACTACCGCGTCTCATGCTGACCTGAGGACTGCCGCAATTCAGTCCGCTCCTCTGAGTTGGTGACACTTTCAAACCCGGCATTCATATCGTCGTCATTTCTTGGTCCTGGCATGATAAAAATCTTACCTTTTGATACAGGAATGGTCTTGTGAGCGCCAGGTACCGCTCCAGTGCCATAGTGACAGCAATGCACACGCTGCCAATGCCGAACACCCTGAGCACGACCCTGACGACGCAGTACAGTTGCGTGTTCCGCGCGCCAGGTACGTGTTCTGCCACAACCATTGCGCACATCATGCCGACCTGAGGATAAAAGATTTTATTATAATGACTTATGTTATTTATTAATTTACTAGCTGACTCAACGAACTTCGTATTGTCAACGTTTTGTGGTATGAGGCTTAAAATATAGGGTATTAGGCTCCTATTTTTGATGACTTTTTTTTTATTAATCTTTAAAAAAGCTATGACCGTTTTTTAGTCCCCAAAAAATCGGTGAAGCTGTTTCGGAAGAGTTCAATAACAAACATTGTGACACGAGATTTCGATATATGTATATTATCTTATGACTATTAGAGCGGCACACATACAAGGACTGCTCGAGCAGTTAGCCAGTTATCAACACACACGGACTGCTTGATATCAGAGGCAACAGCGTCACGAAGAAATTTCACTGCGCTGGCAACTGCCCGAAGCAGTCACCGTAAAAGTCTGTAGTTCACAATGCAGTCGCACACATTCTATCCTGCCTGACTGCTTCAATCTTTTTTTCTTATGTGTTTGCTTATTTGTTAGTCGCAGATGACCTTTACAGCGTCTCCGGGTTTGGGGACGGCGAGATCCTAAGGGGACCTCAAGCCGAGAATTGCGAGTGCCTCTAGAGGTATTACAGTGGATGGCATCTCCCAACGGGGGGAGTCTCCTCTCCGTCTGGAGCCTCTAGACCACTCGAACCTGAGGGGTTGGGCTCAACTAGAGGGCGTCTCTGATACTCAGACCTCGGCTCTAGTTAGCCGTTGTCGTGGGGGCGGGGAAAAACGCCCAGTGCTTCAAGCTGTCCATCCTGCCCGACTGCATCAAGCTGTCCGTGTATGGCCGGCTTTAGTGCTTCGCCACAACCATCGCGCACAATATGCAACAGTTTGCCTTAATGACAAAATTATTTCTTTACTTTGGGAAGATTTACAGCTTTTTATCATACATAAAAAAACAATATGTATAAAAGCTAGTTACAAACCCCCACTTGATAAATTTACATAAAAATGATGTTTGATTCCTTAAAAATCCTTCACCGTGAGTAATATGTTTAACCATATTAATATGCTGATATTTTTACTCATAATACCTATATATTTTTGTATAATCCACAACAAAAAAAGAATCTTAAAAAATGGCCTTATTAAAACAAAAAAGTATGCATGCAAAACTTTTCTTATGAAAGATACAACAACATTATAATAATGTTATGCAAAACGTCTCTGAAATAATGAATTTTACTCGTATACAGCGTTATTTGAATAACTTGGTAAATGTCTATTTTGTCTGAAAAATTAAGATGTGTTCTGAAATTCTGAACTGAGAGTGAAAGAAAAAGATTAGCTAACAAACTCATCGTGCGATAAGTTCCAACATAAAGATTGGAACTGGAATCAAGGAGGCGAAGAAAGAAGAAGACAGCATGATTTGGAGCCAGCGGTACCACTTCAGAGTGGGCACGGGACGGCTGGGATGGCGACGAAGGCATTTCTTGTACGCCCCAGAAAGGGGAGAGGGACCATAGAGACAAAGAAGACAGATAAAGAATAATTTGTAGGGAGTTAAGAAAGTACGCGCGGTGGAGGCCATTCCACGTATATCTCCCGCTGCTTCAGCCTGCATAAATAAAAAGGTTCGCCGGGCCATGGGTGGTTGGTCGGATTTGTCTGTCTGTCTGTCTGTTACCTTTTCAGGCCTAAACCGCTAAATCGATTAAGATGAAATTTTGTAGAAATAAAGGTGGAGTCCCGGGGAAGGCCACAGGATAGTTTTTCTCCTAGATATCACACTTAAAGTGGGTGGAAAAGGGAGTGGAAGTTGGTATGGGAAACTAATTTTTCCACGCAGACAAAGTCGCGGGCACCCACTGTACCTACATAATTATATTATGATATTCATCAAAAACTGCTCATTGTAAGAGTGCATATGTTCGTATGACAGTCATACACGGTGGTTCATTAATTTATGTAAATAATAACATAAAGACTAGAACACGGAACGATGGAACGTATTAAGTACTTGTTGGATAAACAAAATATGTGAAGTGAATAATGATTTATACTTAAATGTAAACGAAACAATATTTTAAACAGTCACCACAAGCATTATACAAGTTTTGTGTGAAACTAGTATATGACTTGTTTCTTTGTGTAAACGTAAGAATCACATAAAGCTTTATTATTTACGATTGGGTACCAATGATTGCGTCTGCGAGAAAAAATGGGTTTTCCATTCAAACTTTTCACTTCCTTAAATTATGGTTTTTAGGATAAAGAAAGAAAGAAAGAAGAAAGAAAGAAGAAAGAAAGAAAGAAAATTTATTGACCTTGAAACACATACAAAAACAGAACACAAAAAGACAGGCCAACTAGGTCCCTGCCTCAGCTTAATACTACAGCAACACCAGGGCTGCTGCAGCGCTGATAAAAACTATCCCGTGTCCTAATCCGGGACTCAAACTACTCAAAACCAAAATTAATCTAAATTGGATCATCTGTTTAAGTGTGTGACAGAATTGACACATTGTAGCATTCATAATGGTTTTAAGATAATAATGAAGCTCTCTGTTTAGTAAATAAAGTTTATCTTGTTAAACTACGCAAGTACAATGACCCATGCGTCATAGTGCTTGCGTATCATGAACTTCTGAAATAGTCTAGAGTTATGACGGTACACGTGGTTCTATTTATAATTTTCTAGCCACTCAAAGACTATAAAAAGAAACTAAAGTACATGAATGTACCTAGCGAAATTCCTCATTTGCGACATTTATGTCATTTCTCTTAGAAAAAAAACGACGGGTTGCACTCCGGGAGTGTTAAAAGTTGAATATTAACGTTGTGCATTTTTGAAATTTTGGAACGAATTTTGCACGAATTGCTTTAATTATCAGTATAAAAGTACTATCATGTATGTGGTAGAATACAATATTTATTTATTGCGCTATATTACATTAAAAAAGTTTATCTCTCAGAAAAATCAACTTACATGAATCACATTTAAGCGCATGTAATAAAAATGCATATTTTCGCAATAAAGCTGCCAAGTGGACGTCCTAGATAGAGACTTATTATTATAATACGGTAAAATAAAATATTACTATGTTTCGTCCAATATATTGAAAGTCAACAACCTTTCCAATTGTATTGTGTGTCATGATGCGATCAGCCCACGTGTTTAACTTGACGCGAGTTTTGCATTTTTTACCCATACAAAAAAGTGTACAAAGCCGCTAAAGAAGTTTTCACTTCAAAAAAATCGGGACAACTGTACGAGTAGGTCTCGCCCACTGAGGGTTCTGTACAAATTTGTAGTAACGCAGCATAAACGGACGTATCTTTTTTTACGTTAACTTAGAAGTTTCAGTTTTTTACAGCTTCAAGGATCCGTATGTGTAAGTAAGTCTATAGACTTGAGCATAATATTATGATCGCTATACATAATTTCTTTTTGTTTAGAATTTTTAATTTCATCCATTTTAGTGAAAATTACATCGTCCAAGTAAACTATAACACAATTGACGAAGAAATCGGTGAACATGCATAAAAAACATCGTGCGTGTCTTTGAAATTTGAAGGTTTCCCTCGATTTCCCTGGATTCCACCATCAGATCCTGACTTGGTTCCAATGGGACCATCACGCAAGTGCACTCTTTCGAAAAAAAAAAAGAATTTATAAATCGGTCCACAATTGACGGAGAAATCGGTGAACATACATAATATATATATCGCACCCCGGTGCGACACTGTCACTTATGCAAAAACTATTTTTTTTCAGGATGAGCGTTTAAAACTTTAACATCCCAAAACATACAATATTTATATATATACGAGTATATACAGTTGAACACAGAAACTCTTCCTTTTTTGAAGTCGGTTAAAAAGGGCAGGGTTTTTTAAGCTCTCTTGAAAAGCTGCCATTTTAGACTTTCGCGATATTAGAACTTAAGCGATGATATACCTTAGCAAGGTTAACCGTTAATTTTTTGATTGACCTTATAAGGAACTACCGACTTTCGTAGGCCACTACCGATATTTTAACTGAAATCGAAGCAAAATTATTATTATTTTCTACCTTCTACAGCCATAACAAATCCTTATATGACAACTTACCGTAAAAAAGAAGGCAATAATAGGTTATTTACATAACAATATTAGGTATAGCTGTGCGCGCGAATTACAATTTTACCGTCGAACTCTACGAAGCGAGGGACCGCAATCACAAATAAAATAGCGACGCGAGCGACTCTCCGCCCAGTGTTACCAACACTTACCAAAATTTACCCCTAAGTATTTTTTAAACTCCCCTAAAATCCCCCAAATATCCATTTTTTTAAGTACCTACTTATTACTAAAATTTTTTCGATGCTCATAAATTAAAACGTTACATAATTAGTTACAGTAAATTATTTTATGGAATAAATACAGCTTTCGATAGACATTTAAATGAAAATGAGCTGACAGGCTGTTAAATCTTATTTAGCTGTTCTTTAACTTTAGTCCATACAGCTTAGGAAACACAGTCAGTTCAGTCGTTTCATACCGTGCTGCGTTCCATTATACGCATAAAACTGAAAGAAAACACACGCTTTGTTTTTTGATTTAATTGCATGTTTTGATAAAAGCCCCTAAAAGAACCCCCAATAAATTCCAGTCCCTAAAAAGTCCGTTTTAACACTTCTAGCCCCTAAATCTGGGGGCAAAACCCCTAAGTTGGGCCCCGTGTCTCCGCCGCGTCTATGTTTATGAGTTTGGTGGAGCTTAGTGTGAGTGGGAGGAATTTATCGTCACATAACATAACTATGATTTTTTGGCCTTCAAAGGAGCAAGGCCTTCCATGGTCCACCCAGCTTGTTTTTAATATTTTTTACCTGTGCAATTTCAATGTTCAAGCATAACTGAGCGTGTGTCGGTTGCTTGTTCTGACAGTTACCAATACAACAAAAATAGTTATTTATGATATTAGTGCTGCAAGTTGGTTATTACAAACAAGTAGACGCATGTAAGCTCGAGCTTACCATAGTCACAAGTTTGTAATTACCAATTCCT